CAATGACTTTGACATTTTAGAAGAGTACTGATCAGTTATTTTGTTGAGTGGCCTTCATGTGAGTTTGCTGATGTCTATTGTTTTCTCATGATTGCACAAACTTGGGCAAATGTACCACAGATATGATATCATGTCCCCTTTGGACATTGTATATCACAAGTTCATCCTGTAACTATGTGTCCTTTCCTGGTATTGTTACCTTGATCACTTGAATAAAGTCTTCTCTGTCTGGCTTCTTACTGTAAAGTTCCCACCTATCTTTCCCTTTGAGATCAATCATTACTTAGGAGATACTTGGAAGGCTATGAAAAGTATATTTGTCTTCAAACTTTCAACCACTAAATCTAGCATTGATTGGTGGATTTTTGTCTGCAATAATTATGACCATAGTGTTTGCCTAATGGTAACTTTCTATTTCCCTCTTTCCTTCTACATTTATTCATTGAAATCTACTGTAAGGGAGATCTTTCCTTTTTCTTTGTTTATATTAGTATGGACTCAATATTTATTTTATCCTATGAGTTAAAATCTAATACTAACATTATTTATTTTGCTGTTAAAGTATGTAAATCATAATATTTTTAATTGGGAAAATACTTCCCTGTGAGCCCAAAGACCCCTAATCAGCTCAGAAAATTCTACTAAGTGGAAGATATTAACATAATGATTATAAATCTCTGTTGAAATGTGTAAATATTTGGGTGGAAATATCTTCACAGATAATGTCTTTGCCTCCATTTGTGTTCTTTTAGTTTTTTGTTTTTGCAAAATAAGCTGTTTTTATTTAGGGTTTATGCAATATAGATATTGCAAAACCTGGTACAGGATATAACTTTATATTATTAAATAGGAGCTCCAGCAAAAGCTTCTTTCCATGTCAGGTTTTCCAAGATATATTTACAGAATTTCAAAATTAAATATTTTATACAATATGAACTCTTATTATTTAATATTTTAGTTAATTCTTTGTTTTTGTAAAGGTAAACTTTTGTGTCTTCCCATTTGCAATTTTGTTTTCAATAATTGCAATTGTAAAGATTGAAAAGCTGAAATTACTCTTTTTCTCTGTGTGTTGACTATTTTAACCAAAATACCTCAAATGATCTTGAACAAAATGTAATTTCTAAAAGCTGATTAGTAACCAGCAGCTACGAAACTGTGTACTGTCATGCATAGGATTATTTTCTAAATTAACATCAACTCTGTCTTCCAAATGTCACGTGCAGTTCAGCCTAACTTTGTATATCTAAAACCATGCATGAATTTTGACTAGTTACCACTTCAGCTAACAGGACAGTACAGCTTTACTACATATGCACCATCATCCATCCTAGTACATTTCTGCTCCATGGATTTCCTTTTATAGTGAAAACATTATTTCACTGTCATGCTGAGCTCCATCAAAATACATATTTGTATCATCATCTGATTCACAGTTTAATTATTAAAGTTACAGTAGCATTTACAATAAGGTCATAGAATTCAACTTTGACACAATCAGCTTCCAAAAGCTCTTCTATGATTCTGTAAATTGAATTAAACACTTTTAAACTTTTATTGGAATTAATTGATTTTCTATTTGATTCATTGGATCATACTGTTATAAAACTGTCATAATTGAACTGTTTGCAAACTCTTCTACTTATGATGCCAACTCATTAATAGCCATTGCTTTATATTGCTCACGGGCCCAAGGAAACTTGGAATTAAAAATGAGAGAAATCAATTTAAGGTGATTGTCACTTGACCTAAATAAAGTCAAGCTGCATGCATTAAATCATGTGCACTTGGGCTTAAAGGTGTAGGCCAGATTTCAACAATGGGGTCCAGGTTGAGAAGAAGATTCAAAGTAGAAGTAGTAACATGAACAAAAATTATGGGCAGCAAGTGACAAATGCCAAGGATGTTTTAAAATAATGGGTACATTTTTTTTAAATAGTGACTATTTTTTTATGTTGCTGCTTCTTCAGCAGATTTCTGTCTTCTGATTATCTATGGTCAGTGATAGCATCAAGGACCCCATGGTGGATGGTGAGTATTTTGTGTGTTGTATGTTTATCATTAACTTTTCTTGAGAAACAGAACCTCCATACTTAATTTTATTAAATGTGTACATTAGATCCTTGTTTCTGGATTGCTTTACTGCAAGGCAAAATAAGTATAGATTTCATATATACACAATAACATGTTACACAACAATAACATGTTATAGATTTATATCATAAGTAAGCCACTGTAGCAGCAGCACCCAGATGCTATGCAGCAGGACAGCTCAGCCTCTATGTCCCACACATGCTATACTTAAGTCTAATCTTTCATTCCTGCCCTCCTGCTAAATCCATTGACTCTTATCCTGGTGGCTTCATGCCTCTCACAGGTCCTGGAATATGCCACTCAGCATGGACCATTACAGACCAAGTGGATGGCAGGATCTGCAGCATCAGATATATCTACCCTCAGCAGGACAGGTTGCAGTTAGCTGCTGCTAGCTGCCCCTGTTCCAACATCATCATTTTATCAGGCCAATGCCCTGCATGCTGTCCTTTAAATGAAGATGTAAGTTTCCTTGAAACTAGGAAGGATGGAAGAGGAGAGATGGCCTGTCTTTCAGCATTTATGTTGCTGGGAGAACTCTAGCAAACGCATCTGACTCTTACCCTCTACTAGGAGACACTATATCAGACATTGAAGTACAATGTAGAGGTTTTACCAGATCTCTTGAAACACAGCTAGTGATAATGATATTTTTTTTTAAAAGGAGAAAATCCAGGGCAAATGCTAAACTGGACTGCATGATTGAACAAGAGGCTAAAATTAGAATGTTCTCAGCAAGTCAGGTTACACACCTCCTTAAACCTGGAGTTGCCTTTGAGTCCCACACAGGTGGCCAACCCCTGAATCTTTTTCATGCTTTTGCCCATGTTTCTCTTGAATATAGACCTTATTTTTAATTTTTACTGTAACCACCTTAGCCTAGATGCCTGTCACCACATACCTGTGTTATTTATAACTACCTATCCATTGGTGGAGGACTCATTTTCTCCTGTTCATTCTCTTCATACCTCCCATCGTTTTCTTTCTGCAGAAACTTGTGTGTCTCATGCCCTTGCTGAAAAAACTTTTAATGACTCCTGCAGAGTAAATTCTGAACTTTGATTCCTAGTATGGTCTGTCCCTATCCTATACTTCCAGATTCATTTTTCATTCTTCTTTTGCATAAATCCTTCACTCCAGCTTCACTGGGCCACTCCGCATCTCCTGAGCACCCTTGGCATTTGCTGCCCATGCTTGTGTTCATGCTGTACTCCTGCCTCCTACTTAGTCTTCCCAACCTGCACCTCCCTTGTTAAAGTCTGACCTATACCTCTAAGCCCAAGTAGTATCTTCAAGAATCTTTCTCTGATTCCCCATTTAGAAATATTCTTTTTGTCTTCTGAGGGATTACAGCTGTGTAGAAACTACTCTGGTGGTATATTATACAAATATCTTCAATTAAAGAAGCTGTTTCATTGCCTACTTTGGAAGGATGGAGATGAACTTTTTCATCTTTTGATACCTGGCACTGCCATACAGCATCTTAGTCCATGAACATGCTGCTGCTAACAACTATTCACTGAGTGAATTAATAAATTAATGGCTAATAAATCCAAATTAAAGATGTAATGGATAGAGTTTTCTCCCTAGAAAACATTTTTACAATATATTGGAAACTATATTAGTCAACAACCCAGGCTGCCATAGCAAAATGACAAAGACTGGGTGGCCTACACAACACACATTTATTTCCCACAGTTCTGGAGGCTGGGAAGGTTTCGATTTCTGGTGAGGACCTCCTTTCCTGGCTTGCAGAAGCCATCTTCTTATTTTGTCCTCACATGGTGGAGAGGGACCGAGAGAGGGAACTCTGTTCTCTCTTCCACTCACTAGCAGGATACTAATCCCTCCACAAGAGAGCACCCCTTATGACCTCATCTAACCCCAAATCACCTCTGAAAAGCCCCACCTTTAAGCACCATTACACTGGGGGTTAGGGCTTCAACAAATACATTTTGGGGAAACACAAACAGTATATAATGAAAACATTTAATTACAAGAAATGATTGAATTTTAAACCTTTCTGTGGGAGAATGTTTTTGAGTGAATTGGCATTTTGGTCTGTAAAATACTACAAATAGCCAGGTTGATTCACCTTTCATATAAGATCAACCTTGCTTATTCATCTTTAGGTCATCCATAAATACTAAACAAGATCAATATCATACCATTTTATAACTCTATTTCCATGAACAAATAAAGACATAATGAATAAAGACATAGGTGTGAATGTGCATTTGTGTCTCTGTGCCTGTCCCAAACAAAAAGATGTATGTCAAACTTTCATGTATGAAACTTCCATGAAATGAAGAGAATAAAAATTTGGCTTAATACATTTCCAATGATATCTCTACTTTTTTTCAAAAAATTTGCCAGAGTAAGAAAATAATCTATGGCTGTTTGAGAGTGAAAACTTATTTAAAAAGAAATAATATAGAAAAAAAGAAAACATAGAAAATGTTGAACTTCTTATCTTACAAATCATATAAACCCTTCACACAAAAAAATTTATAATCCAAAAATCAATGGATTTATAGGCATAGATCTGAAAAATGATGTGACTAAAATCAATAAAGCTATTAGAGTATTTAAATATTTAATTCTTTAAGGATCAAGTGTTAGTCATAAAACAAAATGAGAACATCTGGAAGGCAAAGAGGTTGAAAGATTGAAAACTAAAAAGCAAATGGCTGTGCATATGCTACTGAGAGACTTCAGCAAATGGATATAAACCCATTTCAAAACTAATACAGAGCTTGTATAATTACAATGAGCCTGAAAATGGGTTTAGCACTGATACATCTCCTGGGAAGTTTGGTGAGTCAGAAATATAAAACCAAAGCAAAGGGAGGCTATTGAAATATTACTTCCTGTTGCATTGTAGACGAAGAGGAGAATAAACATACCAATGACTTGCATGGCCGGTTCCACGTCTGTTGTGGCCTCTTCCAACAATGACAGAAGCTTGGCGGATAGCTGATGCACAGATTCAATGTTGCTAAACAAGCTGTCCACGTCCAGCCCATCAATCTAAAAAAACACAAACACCGAGCAGCAGCTGATGGAGAGAGATGCATTGTATGTAGGATGTTTTCCTTTGCTAAGTAGTGTTTCATATGACAGTGCAGGCTGCTTTCGTCAACCATTTCTGTAAACACCCTTATTTAGGATTGCTAGAGGAAATGTGCAGTTTTTCATGCAAGAAATTGGGATAGTGCATCTGTTGTCTGTTATCTTTGTCTTTTTCTTTGTTTTAACTAAATTGTGTGTGTGTGTGTGTGTGTGTGTGTGTGTGTGTGTGTGTGTGGAGTATACATCTATATATTCCTATAAGGACCAGAGTGTGAAGAAGATGTGAGCTAGCTAATTGATACTTCTATGAACTGCCCTCTCTGAGAGTATGTACCTGTGTATATGAATTTAGAATACTTTACTGCTTACACAGCAGAAGTCAAGCCTTAATCTAGGCAAGTAACTATTTTCAAAGCTGTTTTAAAACCACAGATGTTCTCAAACTGATGACAAGTAGATGTGTTAAGTTGCTTCCTGATTATTTTTAAAAAGAAATATGAATAGGAATCTTCACCAAACATATTCTGCTAATTAAAGATTCATCGTATTTTGCAAATTCATGCACATGCTCAAATACCAGTGTAATCATTCCCAGATCTTATAGCTGGTATTTATAATAATTTACCTATTCGCTCACCCATCCTTTCATTAAATATTTCCTGAGGACCTTCTATGTTCCAAGAATTGTAATAGAAGCCAATCTGTCAGACACAGTGGACGATGGCCAACTATCCTAAACAGTCTAAGTGGGGTGTGGTGATATACATGCCCTGACTTTGCTAGATCTTACTCAAAAGTTTTCTTTTAAGTTTAAGTCAATCTTTCATAATCATACAGTGTCCAGTTGGGTCATAAATGGATTGATACAGGCCCCACTGTGCTACAACAGAGAATAGGAGTAGGTGCCTCTTCCCCATGATGTATTGTGCATGAGGTCATTGGTAAAAATCACCAAAAATCAAGTTATGGAGGTGCTTCAAAACTGAAAAGCAGCACTCAAAAACCCAAGAATTAGGAATCAGAGGGAGACACAAAGCTGAGCTAAGGATCTGAAAAAAAAGAGGCTGATAAATTAAGGGAAATTGGCAACAAGGAACAGAGAGTAAGAGACAGACTTAGAGGAATTCTGAAAATGAGGTCCAACAATTGCAACTTCTTTCTCATGCTCTCAGCAGCAGTTTCGTTAGGTGTGCCAGGTCTATTTAGAGAGGAGAAAGGAGGCAGGCACTCATCTTTTTATCTTGTCCTTTTTGACATTGACCCACCCATTGTTCCCCGAATGGGACATGGATAATATTTTGATAAGGAGATTCTGTTATTGAACATAGATGCATCACTAAAAAAATCTTCCAGCCTTATTGTAATCAAATTCTATGTGATTGTATGTAATGGATTTGTTTCAATGTAGCACAATAGTATACAACTTTTTTCTATTTTTATGTATTCTGAAGTTATCATTATCTCTATAGTACATATTACATTGCAATCATTATTGGCTCTTGGGATCTTTAATCCAGCATCTCACAAAATGTTCCTTTCTTAAGCAGGCACTTAAACAGGATAAAGCATATTTGGCTCTTCTGCTTGAAATCTATGATATTTAATATTATACAAATATCTAAAAAGCAGATAATAGTTGTATGGCTCTTTTCTTAATAATTTTAAGTGGCTCAAATGTCTCATATTTCTGAGTACCACTGATTGAACAACTCATTCTAAGGAATTGCTTTATGCATTGCTTATTAATTAAATTAAAAAGACGTACCTTTGACTAGTGTGAAATATTTTCCAAAAGTTGTGTATGAATCAAATTTTTGTAGATTGAGTTATTTTAGATGTACCAGCTACATGTTTCTCAAAATCACCTTTTGAAAGGAATCCTTCTAAAGTCTAAAATTTCAGCCCTAATTTACTTACTTTGTAAGATAAAAGATTAGATGTAATTCATACAGTGAATTATTTCATTTTGTTGTGGAAACTTTATTCTGAGAAACTTGAAGAGCTTCATATTTATTATTTCATATATTATTCCAACTTCTCTGTAAAATATGAAACAGTTTGAAGATACAGAAACACATGCAGAGTGAAGAAATGTGCCGTGCTTAAAATTTGAAAGTTCAGAAAGGAACTGGAGCTGGGAATTGACCTTTGAGTGCTATGCCTCAGTACATTACCAGAAAATACTATTAATATAATACTTTGCAATTTCTATCTGGATTTTTTTTTAGTTTGTTCCTGAGTTTTTATTAAGTTGTCACTTTTACAATTTATTTCCCAAGGAGAGAATCTTGCATATCTGTCTAATTTAGATTTTAAATTCATTTAGCAAGGAACTAATTCTATATCTATCTATAATCTTAGCTCAATGCAACAAATACTAAATAATAAAAACATGGCTTTTAATTTCATTTCTGTGTGAAAGACAGACAAGACAAAAACATCAGTTGGTCTCGTTTCCACCTCCAGTACCACCACAGGCCCGTGGGGATCCTGTGCCACATGACATGAACTCACATTCAGTCGCTGCTGTGCCAGCGAACAAACAAAGGTCTGTTCCAAAGAAGCTTTTAAACTGGTGGATGATTTTATAATTATTGATATAAATACAAGGAATCATTTATGTACATTTATTAAACATTTACCAGGAAGAGACAATGGTCTAAGAGCCCAAGTTATGTTTTAAATGAATTAAAAATTTGCTTTTTTGAAAGAAGATTTAGTCTAAGAATACATTATCCTAAGCAAAGTCAGTATATAAAAATTCAAATGTATAAAACAGAAAATGAAAGGTCAGTGTTTCTGGTGAGAATTTAATTCTTTCCTTTTCACAAGCGTTCATCACAACATCTCTTTCATGTAGCAAGTTCCCATTACATTTAAATAATTGCTGAACTTACAGTTGCATGCATGCAAAACTTTCCAGGTAAAAATGTCTAAGTAAAGGAAAACATCTATAAACCTCTGTCAATTCAGAGACTGTAGTCATTGCTATAGAATTACTTTGCACCCAACAAGCACCATACCCTCACTGTTTTCAAAATATTCCTTGCATTTCCCAGCATTCATATCCTAGCCCAGGCTCTTCCCTTTTCTCATGAATGCTTTGTGCTCATATTATTTCACAACATTCTACCCATTCGAAATGAAATGTGGTAATGGTAGTGTTTGCCCATTAGTTTCACACATGTCTCTGTTGCATTTTAGGGGAAAGCTACCTCCTACCAGCTCTATGTGATCTGGTGAAACTGTCAGTCACCGTGTCCTGCACCCTATCCTATTCCCTACAGTGATGGGCAGCATGACACATAGCTGGCCACAGATTTTAGCTTAGAATGGGCAGGTCCCCAAGCAATGCCAATGATACTCTTCACTGATTTTTAATAAATGGTTGCTGGGAAAGAGAAAGGCCTGGACTGTAAACCCTAATTATGTAAGCTTATATCTTTAGGAGTCATCTTTGTGGAGAACTTGAATGTGACAAAACCAGCAACGAGAAGGAAGCTAAGCCTGACAGCATCATCTCAGCTCTGGACTTACCTTACCTATAGCAAGACATCCTTATTACAGAAGCTGATAAAATGCCTTTTTATTTAATCTAGTTTAAATTTTATTTGTTACCTACAAATGATAAGTTACTGTTTCACTTTTCTTTATTTCAAGCCAAACATCTCACTTCCTCTAAGAAAGCTTTCCTGCTCCCTGGTTAGAATTAACCTCTCCCTCTTCTGACCTACCATGACTTTGCTTCATATTACTCATTGCTTGTTTGAAGAGATATATGTATATACATGAGACATTATTAATTAATCTGTCTCTGTGTCAAAACTGTGAGATCTTCTACCACGTAAGTCTCTGTGTATTATATGAATACCCCACTGTGTCTAATACAGTGCTGGGCCCACACTTAGTTACTCAATAAAATTTTGACAATTTTTAGTGACCACTATAAATTGTATGATCTATTTACGTTGTGGGAGCCATCAATAAAATGTTCCTTGTAAGCATTCTACTGGGCTCTGAAAAACAAGTATGCAGAGATCAAAAGTGGTTTAGAGAAAAAATCAAAATCACCTAATCAGTTGTTCAAAATATCCCATTCAGGGAATAATTTTCTACTTAATTTTATCTACAAAGACAAATTGTTGTGCTTAGTTTAGCCAATAGTGTATATAGAAAATATACTGACAAAGGCCAAACTTTCCCTTTAGTTTACACTTGGGAAACTCCTGTTTATTGTTTTCCATTTAATGAGTTCTGGGGCATGCAGCCTACCTGAGTCACAGGGGTGAGTAACCAAACGTTCTTGGGTGTGTTGTGTACTTCCAACCAGAAATACCTTTAAAAGTGAACACCTTTAAAAGAAGTCTAGGAAGAATATATTTTAATAAACTATTATCATAAGTCACTTACATTTTTTGTAGAAAATTAAAGATGGATAATTAAGAAAGAAAATGCAATGCTTATAATTCTACCATACAGCAACAATCACTGATATTTTGAGATATGTCCTGACAAATTGTTTTTCTCTCTCTATGTATGTACATAAAGATTTATATGCCTCAAATAATGTTTCAAAATTTAGATGTTTGTTTAAACAGCATAACATGGATATCTTTTCACATCATTAATTTTCCTCAGTTGCACCATCTTTAATGTCAACATTATGTATAAATACTCTACTTAACTAAATCTTGGAAGTCTAGATAAATTGCCGTTTTCACTACTATAAGCAGCTCTCCTGGCTAAAACCTTGTTCACATCCTTGTTTATTTCTTCATGATAAATTTCATAAAGATAATTATTATTAGTATTTCTTGAGGATCTCAAAAAGTCTGACAAATTATAGCAGCAATTAGAAACATTGTTTTTCTTTTAGTAAACAATAACTTAAAAACCCTCAGTTGGGTATTACTGCTCTGACCTCAACTTGGAAATTTATTTTTAGGCTTCTAATTTGA